TATATTCAAGATCATATTTTGGCTCTTGTGGATTTGTATTAATTGTCTTCAACTTCAAATTGAACTTGCATATGAGCAGTTGATGGTCTGTTCCACAGTGAGCTCCTGGCTTTGTTTTGGCTGAAGATATTGAGTTTTTCCATTGTCTTTTGCCACTGATGTAGTCAATCTGATTCCTGTGTATTCCATCTGGCAAAGTCCACATGTATAGCCACCATTTGTGTTGTTGAAAAAAAGTATTTGCAATAAATAAGTCATTGGTCTTGCAAAATTCTATCATGCAATCCCCAGCATTATTTCTGTCACCAAGGCCAAATTTTCCAACTACAGGTGATTGATTCTTCTTTGTTTCCAACTTTTACATTCCAGTCACCAGTGATAATCAGCACATCTTGATTACATGTTCAGTCAATGTCAGACTTCAGAAGTTTGTAAAAATCTTCAGTTTCCCCCTCTTTGGCTTTGGTGGTTGGTGCATAAATTTGAATAATAATAGTTGTAACTGGCTCTCCTTGTAGGCGTATGGATATTATCCTATCACTGACAGCATTGTACTTCAAAATAGATCTTGAAACATTGTTAGTGATGATGAGTGCCACTCCATTCCTCTTCAATTTGTCATTCCCAGAATAGTAGATCATATGGTTGTCTGATTGAAAATGGCCAAAACTGGTCCATTTCAGCTCACTAATGGCTAGGATATCGATTTTATGCATTCCATCTCATTTTTGACAACTTCCAATTTTCCTAGATTCATACTTCATACATTCCATGCTCTGATTATTAATGGATGTTTGCAGCTGTTTCTCCTTAATTTGAGTCATGCCACATCAGCAAATGGCGGTCGAAGAAGCCTTACTTTATCCATATCAGTAAGTTTGGTCCTACTCTGCTGATGCAGCTCTTTCCTAGTCATATTTTGAAAGCCTTCTGACCTAAGGGGCTTGTCTTCTGCACTGTATTGGATAATGTTTCCGGGCTATTCACATAGTTACCCAGTAATGTATCAGACAGAGTTTCTCTGCTATTCATAAGGTTTTCCCTGGCCAATTCTTTGAGAAGTGGGTGGCCTCTTCCTTCTTCCTAGTCTGTCTCAGTCTTTAAGCTGCATTGAAACCTGTGCACCATGTGCAACTCTGCCGGCACTTGAAACACTGGTGGCACAGCCTCCAGCATCACAGAAACATGTAAGGCACAATAGTATGACAAACTGACAGACAAGTTTGTCCCACTTAGCTGTTCAAAATCTCTCCGCCCTCTCCTTACCTGTATCCCTGGCTCTGCTCTGTCATCACTTCTGGCTCCTCTTTCTCCTACTTTCCTGGCTAGTCGGGGTGAGACCTGTGTCCCTTCTTCCTCTTACCTGGATGCCTGGCTGCTGCCTGTAGAACCCGATAAATGCAACATCCAGTTAGCCTGATCAGTTTGCAACATACATTTTCCTCTCAAAAATATTTCTCCAACATTTAGAGTCTGCAGTATCTTTCTTACCTGTTAGCAAACTTCCAAACCGCTGCCATCGAGTTCATTCCAACACATAGAAACCCATAGCATTTCCAAGGCTACAAATCTTAACTGAAGCAGATCACCTCATCTTCCTCCCATGGAGAAGCTGGTGGGTTTGCACTGCTGACCTTCTGGTTAGCAGCCAAATGCCTTAACCACTGTGCCACCAGAGCTCCTTTAGCAAACATTAGCAGATGACAAAATAAACAAGTACTATATAAGTATTAATATAAAAATTCAAATAAGCTAGTTGCCCTCAGCTGAACAACTTTTTATTTAATGTGTGCATATACTTATAATTTTTAAAAAAATTATACATATAACACAAACTTTGGGAGCTCTGGTAGCATAGTGGCTAAAGCACTTGACTGCTAACCAGAAGGCTGGCGGTTCAAACCCACCAGCCACTCCTCGGAAGGAAGGTTGGGCAATCCTACTTCTGTAGTGAGACTGCCTCGGAAACCCAAGGAGGGGTCGCTATGAGTCGGGGCCGACTCGACGGCACATAACAACAACAACAACAACAACACAAATTTCTTGTGTGTGAAATTATTCATAACTTTTATGGCTGAATCTACCTTTCGTAGTTCACAGAAAGACCCTGATACTCTATGAAAGAACTCTGGCTGCCAATTGGCAAATTCCTGGTCTACTTGCTCTGTAGGTAGGCGTTTATAAGGCGTTTATTTTTCCACAGTATGTAACATAATACTGGGCCAAAGTAGATGCCTTCATAAGTACATGCCACCTATTTTTCAGCTGTACTGAGAAGAACATTAGCAAATGAAACTGTTTATCTTATGTTTCCTTATCTGATAAAGAGAAAACTACTGGTGGCTTAAATGTTACCACTTTTCATTTTTCTTACACTTGAACACTTTCTGCCCAACCACCTTTCCACATTTGTCATCCCTAAAAATACTGCTCACAACAAGATAGCAAAATGTGGCATTACCTATTAATTTAAAAACTGAGTGTCATGGAAATGCTACCATGTTGTTTATTAACATTATGTAATTCAATTTTTGCGAAGTTTTGGCATTGTGGCTAATTACCTCATTACCTGGTAATGGATAAAACTGCTTTAGAGTTGTCTTCAAAATGCTATAAATTCTGTCCCAAGATCAAGTGTGGGGACTAGGAAAACCCACCTGTTGAGCATTTGCTTAACCAGTAAATACTCACATTAAGGCTTCCTGGATACTGACTTGTCAGCCCAGCACAATTCATATTTGTACAGTTGCAGTATAGCCTTTCTGAGATGAGTCATTTGAAGTTTCAGTGATTCTTTCTAAGCTCATCCTTGATATTGGCCCCTGTGCATTCCTGGACCAAGGGGCAGATTGGGCTAAGAGTGCCAGCGTAGGGAATGTGTGTCATTATATGGGAGGCTGTAGTCCAACATGGAGGTCATAAAAACACAAAGCAACACCTCTTTAGATGGCTTTGAGGACACAAAGGTTGTTTGTAGGATTTGTTGTTGTTGATGTTGCTAATTGCCATCGGTCATCTTCAACTCATTGTGACCCCCTATATAACAAAACAAAGTATTGTCTGATTCCATGTTATCTTCATGATTGTTGGTATTTTTGAGTCCAACATTGCGGCCGTTGTGTCAGTTCCTCTCATTGAGCATTGGCCATCCACGTTACCAGATGTAATAGTCTTGGACAATAGTGCATCATCCACAGGGTTTTTATTGGCTAACTTGTGGGAGTAGATTGTCAAGCCTTTCTTCCTGGTCTGTCTTAGTCTGTCTGTTCCACTGAAACCTGTCCACCATGAGTGACCCTGCTGGTATTTGGAATACCCATAGCATGACTTCTAACATCCCAGCAACTTGCAATCCCACATAGTATGGCAAACTGACAGATGGGTGGTGGTATATAGATTATAATACTCAAAGTCACTCACCTGGGGTGGGATGGTAGAAGAACAAAAAGGGACAAGAAGAGATTTGATTCAAAAGAGACTCTTTGAAAGTTCTCCAGAAATATTGAAGGTCTCCACTGCTAGATACATTTGGGGCCCTGTCTGTCATTCCTCCTCTCCATTACCGTATCTGTGGATTTTCTCATTTAGAAGGCTTCTTCATTTAATACCTTCTAACTTGCATCCCTCAGACTGGAATGGCATTCTTACCAAACTATGAACACATTGGCCCTACCGGCTCAGAATATGGTACTATGGTACTAAGAGGTGATGATGACATTCACTGATTGTTGAGACATGGTGATGTTACTTTCAGATTGAAATACAGGTTGAAATGGTGAGTACTTAAGTCTATTTCAGCTTCTTGTAAAACCACAGTTATCACTGTTTGGTTGTTGTTAGTTGTTATTGAGTTGGCTCCAACTCATGATGACTTTATTTATAATAGAATAAAAGGTTGCTCGGTCCTGTACAATCTTCCTCTCCGTGGTATGTGAGAGTCCATGGTGGAAGCCATTGTGCCAATCTTCCTTATTGAGGACTTTCCTTATTTTGGCTGACAACATGTATAACAAAACAAAATGTTGCCTGAACCTGTGGCATAATGTCTTTTTCTGAGGATTAATTTTTCCTCATGACATGCCTAAAGTAAGCAAGCCAAAGTCTTGCCAACCTTGCTTCTAAGGAGCATTTTGGTTGTAATTCTTAGAGGATAGATTTGTTCGTACTTCTGGCAGTCCTCACTCTACTCAGTATTCATTGCCAATACCACAATTGAAGTGCATTCAGAAACCACAGTAGACTTTGATGAAAAGTTGAAGACTTTCCCATTGAAAGCCGTCAGCTCTGTATGTGCTGCCATAATTTATACTAAAATAACAGCATCACTTTTTTCAGTTTAACCATCAAGCTTTTGGGGTTTAGTTGTAAAGAGAAGTTCTTAGATTACAAGAAGTGTCTGTCTTCTGCAGTATTTCTGAGACCTGTGGGGTTCTGTGATTCTTTTCCCAGCAAAGCAAAATAGGTGGTGCTGTTCATAGGTTCAAATGATGTCCGTAAGTTGTTCATGAAAATCTTCGTTCTTTCTTCCCTGGTAAAATTTCATGATAAGGAAATATTCTATTTTGATTCTTAAATTTGAAAAAAAAAAAAAATCTAATGAATGACGCAGCATATCCTGTTAGCTACTTTTGCTTGCTCTTGGATTACTTGTTTACAAGGATTGATGGTGCAATCTGTTGGCTTTTTACAAGAGTGATTAAAAGGGCTTCTGGATTATGTTTCTTAGAAAGAATTTTTGTAAGCCTTTTAATGCATTAAAAGGCAAAGTTGGAACCAAACTGGGCTATCAAGCTCTCCTCAACCCACTTTTAAGCAGACTTGAAGTTCTTGAATTCAAATTGACCTTAAATTGCTCTGGGGAGTTGGGGCTGGTGCTTTCCAAAATGCAGACACCATTGTTTTAGGTTATATTTTAAATATTGATTTTTTTTCCCCTGGCTGAATTTATATAGGGATGCAGAGGGACATTAGTAAAGCCCTCTTGTCTTATCTCTTTGCAGGCTTGTTGATCGGCGCTGGCTGTGCCCTCTACCCCTTGGGCTGGGACAGTGAGGAAGTCCGGCAGACTTGTGGCTATGTTTCTGGCCAGTTTGACCTGGGTAAGTGCTCTCCATGGATGGTGCTTCTTTTAGAACAGAACCTTATGTGATATTTTATAAAACAAGAAGATGGAAAAGGGACTGGTAGGAAGTACATATTCTTCTATTGCAGCCAGCAGTCATGTGTAACAATGCATATACATTTATTTATCCATTTGTTTGGTGAAGAGGTATTCATAATCTTCTGTTTGCCTAGTACTATGGTAAGTAGAATGGAGACAGAGATAAGAAATGGCCCCTGCTTTCAAGAGTTTATTTAATTCATTGATTAATTCATTGAAAATCATATGTTTATTAATCATTGCATGTGCTAAAACTATCTCTGTGGAATTCACAGCCTGAGAAGGCAAAGCAAACAAAACGAGCAATCAAGGAAAGAGCAATAAGGGCTAAGAAAAGGAGAGCAATTTAATTCAAGCATAATAGATGACTTTTTTAAATGAATGGGAACTGAACTGGATCTTAAGCAAAGTGATGCATGTGGATACAAACCAAAAATCCAGTTGCCAGTTGCCATCAAGCCAAATTTGTCTTATGGTGACCCCATGGGTTAGAGTAAAACTATGCTCTGTAAGATTTTCAGTGGCTGATTTCTCAGAAGTAGATCACCAGACCTTTCTTCCAGGGTGCCTGTGGGTGGGTTCAAACTACCAACCCTTCAGTGAGTAGTCAAGTGGAATAGCTGTAAGTCAAAATTTCTGAAATTTTCTTATTAGTAAAATGCAGAGACAAATCCATGAGGAGCCCTCCAACAATGTACAACTTCCACCCATTCAGGGGCATCCTTGAAGTGGCACCTTCCTGTTTCTGCTGCTCAGGTCTCTATGAACTTCTCATATGCTTTCCTCCTTCCTCCCCATGACTTTGCTATACTGTATTTCTTGCCTGCAAGGTGCTTCCATCTACTGCCCAATAATCCACATAGACAAGTCCATGGGTGGCTCAAACAGTTGAAAGGGCTCCTTCAACAGTAATTTATTAATAACAAGATTTCAGCTATTTTCACTTATACCTACTGTGTAGTCTATTTTTCTTCTTTAGCAATCTAAAAATTTCTACATAGCACACAATGATTTGCATCCCTGCAGTGGCTAAGGCTAAACAGAAGGTTGGCAATTCAATCCCACCAGCCACTCCATGGAAGGAAGACAGAGCAATCTACTTTTGTAAAGATTTACTACCTTGGAAAACCAATGAGGGTCGCTATGAGTCAGAATTGACTCTATGGCAGTGAGTTTGGGTTAATTTGTAATACTTGAATGATATTTCATTTGTTTCAATGTACCAGCATTTATTTAACAACTATGGATTCCCTGAGTGTCACAAATGGTTAATTGCTCTGCTACTAGCTAAAAGGTTGGTGGTTTAAACCCAGCCAGAGGTGCATCAGAAGACATGCCTGGCAGTCTGTTCTGAAAGGTCACACAGTCTTTGATAACTCTGTGGAGCAGTTTTACTCTATAGATGTGGGGCCATCATGAGTTGAAATCCACTTCATGGCAATTAACACCAAAGACAACACTTAACCACTTCCTTATTTCCTTAGAGTTGGACATTTTGTCTATTCTGTTTTGTTTTCCTTAAGATTTGGTATAATGAATAGCATAAGGATGTTAAGTGTTTTCTCTGGTAGAATTATTCCTTTAGGGTACTTTCTTAGAATCACTATTACTAAATCAGAGAATATGAACCCATAAAACATTTATTGCCAAATGATAGCAAATCTGTTTTCTTCCAATAGATGATAGAAACATTGAGTCCCTGACAAATAGTGCTTATTTCAGTTACTAATGTAAATATCCACTTTTCATCTTAAATAGTTCATTCTAAGAAAAAATTCTCAAAGAATTGGTCCAATGGCAGTCTTACCATATCCCAAGTCATTATTTTTAAATGTTTACATTAGAACATCTCTTATGAAGCATTTTCTCTGTTGGTTATTAAGGAAAATTGGATAGCTGTGAAACCACATCAGTGTTCTGTGGATTTGAAAATGAAGCAATTTTTGTTTGACTTAATGGATGACTAACACCCTGCTTCTGTAAAAGTAATACTGGCCTTTCAACACAGAGAATAGTCCCTAGGTGGTGCCAGTGGTTAACAAGCTCAAGTGCTAATTGAAAGGTTGGAGGTTCAGATCTGTTCAGTGGCACCTTGGAAGAAAGGTCTGGAGATCTACTGCCAAACACTCATTGAAATCCCTCTGAGCCGTCCCCCTCTAACATAGGTATGGTTGCTGTGAGTTGACTTGGCTCTGGCAACCACCTCCTAAGAAGCCAGTGCCCTAGGTGCTGCCAGTTAGAATGGATACAAAATAAGAGAGCTCCCTCTGGCCATTCTCCCACCTTGTTGACAAGCCTTTCCTAAGTCAAGATTAGCTTTTGATTGCCATAGGTGCACAGAAGGGAAAAAATGCTAGCACAAAGTTGCTCACCGGCCTTTTTACTTACTCATTTATTTGGAAAGCCAAGTATGTCAGGGGAGATATTTTAGTACAGTGCTTGGCATCCTTCTTTCCCAGGTGTCTGAGGCATTCTTGGCTGTTCCACACAGGCCTCAACTTGATGAGAGTCTTACTCTTGCTGCTCTGCTCTAAAATGTGTTGCCCTAGTGAGTTTGGTTTTTTGTTTTGTTTTGTTTTTTATTAATTAGCAGATAATAATGAAACTCAGATCCTGTGATTTACAGTTTTCACTATTGCACCCTAGCATTTTGTACCATCCTAGCATTGTGGATTAAAATTTTTAATGTAACATGAAAACTTTAAAAAACTGCCTCTTTACTAGCTACAATAATTTCTTCTTATAAAATTTATTAAACCCATCTTAGCAATTTAAACAAACTATGCTGTCATTCTGATTTCTGCATTTTTTTTTAATTACTCTTAGATTAGATGATGAGAAAAATATGAACACTGGCATCATCTATAGATAAAATGAATTCTAATGCCCCTGAATACATATTTTGGATTCCACTTCCCCCAGGTACTATCATTTTGGGATACTGTATTCTTTAGTGATACCACTATGCTTATCCCATCTAATATCTTATGTTCTCTCTCTCTTTTTTTTTTTTTTTTAATGTTACTCTCTCCTTGATCAGCAACAATGACTAAAGTCATAAATTATGGTACTACGCTGGGTGAGTCTCTCGCTCTGGGCTTGGTGAGCCACAGGATGGATGCATGCATGGGTGAGCTATCCTGGTGAGGACAGCCCTGTGGTCGGGCTTGGTGGTGTACACTTTGCTTGCCACTACCACACTCACCTCTGCCACTTCTGAGAATCCAAGGAAAACGTTGTGGACACGTCTTCCTCCCAGGCTGGGGAATAGTAACATTGGTTAAGCCCATGATCTCTTCATTGTGGAATGAAGAGATCATGATATGCCACTCTCTTGGTATGCCATTTTTGAAATGCTGTCATTCTCTGATCTAGAGTACAACATGAGAGAAATAATTGCTTTTGTTTATTTAGGGAAGATTATTTAAAGAGTGTATTCGTTCTATGATTCAGCTAACAAATATTACGGAGTTCTTACTGTGTGCTCCACCACCCATCTGTCTGTGGCAGCTTATGTGTTGCTGTGATGCTAGAAGCTATGCCTCCAGTATTTCAGTACCAGCAGGGTCACCCATGGTGGCCAAATTTCAGCAGAGCTTCTAGACTACGATAGACTAGGAAGAAAGGCCTGGTGATCTACTTCCAAAAACTAGCCAATGAAAACCATATGATCACAACCAGACATCCTCTGACTTGCTTACTTTGGACATGTCATCAGGAGAGATCAATCACTGAAAGAGGACATCATGTTTGGTGAAATAGAGGGCCAGCAAGGGCAAGAGAGAGCATCAGTGAGATGGATTGGCCCAGTAGCTGCAATGATGGACTTGAACATGCTTGCAGTGGAGAGGATGATACAGGACTGGGCCCCATTCTGTTCTGCTGTTTATCAGATCACCATGAGTCAGTTATTTTCAACAGCGGCTATCTACTTATATCTACTATGTGCCAGGCATTCATTGTGCTAGGTGTTGGGGGTATGGCTTTAGCACTGAATAAAAAGGACATCATTCACTGACCTCAGGGAACTTAAAAAGTAGCAGAGGGGGCCAGGTATTTAGCAAGATAAGACAAGCATGAGGTGTGTTAGAAAGAAAAAGTGTCAGGAGGTGGACATTTATTTTACTTGCCAATATCATTCTGCTCAAATTGGTTAGCCTCAGCCAGGGATTGGCAAACATTTTAAAGGGCCAGAGAGTAAATATTTTGGACTTTGTGGGCCATATGGTCTCTGTCACAACTATTTGACTTTGCTGCTGCAGCATGAAAGCAGACATAGACAATACATGTGTGACTGGGCATGGCTATGTTCCAATAAAACTTTATTTACAGAAACAGGCCATAGTTTGCCAACCACTGATCTAAACCAACACCTAACCCTGGCATGATTTCATTTCAGACTATTCATTTATTGATCCTTTCAGCCCCAGAGCATCTGCCCAGGACCTAGAGCAGCCACAGATTCTGCACAGGGCAGCCCTATCCAATTAGCCTAGTATGTGGTAAAAATACTGTGTTTTTCTTGTTGCATGATGATGTGAAATCAGGTGCCAAGCACTGTGGATCTCTTACTACTGGGATGGAATGGAAAGGCTGCTGCCCACTTGGACCAGTGAGACTGGAAGAGATACTCCCAGGGACTTCTGGGGATTAGAACGTTCACATGCTTAGGGGAGAGGCCCAGGAAGCCATGCTCTCTTTTTTGCTGGTAGCCATCCATCCTCTTACCAGATAGAATGGTGGGAGTAAGCAGGGGTAGACAGAGAACCCAGTCTGATCCACAACCAATCATGGAGATGGTGCAAGATGGGGCAGTGTTCTGTTGTGCATGGGATCACCACGAGTTAGCACCATCACTAATGACAGCCCTGTTTCAACAGATTTTTAAACCCAAGTATGAGTGTGTTAATAAAGTAGTAACTTACTTAGTTCAGAGTG